TGGGCCCGGCTGTGGTAGATATCTTCAAATAAATCACAACAAACACATGTAACATTGTATACATTTATTATTTCAACTTTCAAATAAATATATATGTACAATCCATGAAAACAATACAGTTGTTGCCAAGGTAACCATTATGTTAGTTTGTGGTTCCTAAACCTTTATCTAAATCGTCATCTTAACAATGCTTAAGTTTCACATAGCATTTTTCTTTTTTAAAGAACTTCTTTTTCATAATGTTCTACCTGACAATCATGAGATAAATGACTGCCTAATCAGATTTAGTCCTTCTTTAAAAAAATGTTGGACTTTTTCTTTTTTAATTCCACTATTTGCGACATAAAATCTCTAGGGATACAAACATTAGGATTTCTAACTACTTCTTAAAAATTTATCTGAAATCTAAAACATCCAAATAATTTGAATATCTTGAACTTTTAGAATAAAGATAAATATAAATTTATCTAAGAAAGATAATAATCATACACAAAAATATCAATATATCACTAATAAATAATTTTATAGTAATCATTTTTATTTTTCTGATACAAATTTAGTACATAAATTATTTCCGATTACAAATATAAAAAATATATCATTCATCACAATACATAATAGTAACAATCAGTATATATTTTACATAAAACTAAATAGTAACAATCAGTATATATCATTCATAGCAATACACGATAGTAAAATTCAGTATATATCATGCATAACAATACACAAACGTAAAAATCAGTATGTATCATTCATAACCATACACACTAGTAATAATCAGTATATATCATTTATAACAATACACAATAGTAACAATCAGTATTATCATTCATCACAATACGGAATAGTAACAATCAGTATATATCATTCATAACAATGTGTCAAAGAGACAACAACCCGACCATAGAGCAGACAACAGCCGAAGGCCACCAATGGGTCTTCAATGCAGCAAGAAACTCCCGCACCCGGAGGCGTCCTTCAGCTGGCCCATAAACAAATATGTATACTAGTTCAGTGATAATGGACGTCATACTTAACTCCAAATTATACACAAGAAACTAAAATCAAAAATGATACAAGACTAACGAAGGCCAGAGGCTCCTGACTTGGGACAGGCGCAAAAATGCGGCGGGGTTAAACATGTTTTTTATAGTGTATATCATACATAACAATATAAAATAGTAACAATCAGTATATATCATTTATGACAATACACAATTATAACAATCAGTGTATAACATGTATAACAATACACAATAGTAACAATCAGTGTTAACCATTTATAACAAAACAAAATAGTAAAAATCAGTATATATCATTTATAACAATACATAATAGTAACAATCAGTTTATATTTTACATAACAATATACAATCGTAACAATCAATATATATCACTCATAACAATACACGATATTAAATATTAGTAAATATAATTCATAACAATACACAATAATAACACTCAATATATATTTTACATAACAATACACAATAGTAACAATCAATATATACCATTCATAACAATACCCAATAGTAACAATCCGAGTATATCATTCATAACAATACACGATAGTAACAATCCGTATATATTATACATAACAGTACACGATATTAACAATCAGTATATATCATTCATAACAATACACAATAATAACACTCAGTATATATTTTACATAAAAATTCACAATAGTAACAATCAATATATATCATTCATAATAATACACAATAGTTACAATCAGTGTATATCGTACATTACAATATAAAATAGTAACAATCAGTATATATCGTTCTTAACAATACACAATAGTAACAATCAGTGTATATCATACATAACAATATAAAATAGTAACAATCAATATATATCATTCTTAACAATACACAATAGTAACGATCAGTGTATATCATTCATAGCAAAACACGATGGTAATAATCAGTATATAATTTACATAACAATGCACAATAGTAACAATCAGTATATATTTTACATAACAATGCACAATAGTTACAATCAGTGTATATCATTCATAGCAAGACACGATAGTAACAATCAGTATATATTTTACATAACAATACACAATAGTAACAATCAGTATATATCTTTCATAACAAAACACGATAGTAACAATCAGTATACATCATTCATAACAGTACAAAATAGTAACAATCTGTACATATCATGCATAACAGTAAATAATAGTAGTTATTAGTTTATATTTTTACTGAAAATTGTAAAAATCTTTTATCTTCAATACATAAAACTTCTTTATTTCTTCATTCTTTGAATTTTTAGATTTTATTTTTCTCTATTCCTTCTCTATTCTTAATGAATATACCAGTTTGAAGGTAACAGGAATTATGGAATATCCGTTTCACAGATGATAGCGGATGTGTTCCAAACTACAATCCCGTCCCCTTTTTTCGAATGTGAATTCGACTTATTACCGGGTTTGTACTAACATAAGCAACATGACGGGTGCCACATGTGAAACAGGATCTGCTTATCTTTCCTAAGCACATGAGATCACCCCCAGTGGTGTTCATGTTTCTCAGTTGTTAGTTTTCTATGTTGTGTTTTCCGTACTGTTGTTTGTCTGAGTGTTTGAGTGTCCCTTTTGTATCTTTCGCCTCTATTTTACAAATTTGTCGATGTTGAAAATAAATTTGACACAGGGGTATCTTCAAAACAATGAATGTTCTACAGAGGAATTACAACGAAATTTTAAAAGTCGGCAAAAAAGATGAAAACTTATGTGCGAGCACTACAAAGTTCCAGTTTTAATATTTTTTTTTCATTAAGGGACATTTGTAAAAAAATGAAACTACTAAAAATAATTTACTTTTAAAGTAACATAATTCCAAAAAGGTTTAGGCTGTCATCTTAAAAAAAACTACAAAGCAAGTATTTCACATTTAAGCAAAGCATTAAGTTATAAAGGATGTTCGCTACACTGATTCAAAATAACACGATTTATACATGTTATAGCAAAAAGTTATAAATTGATATTATATAAATAACGGAACTTAAAAAACAGAAAAAGAAATAAAAAAACAGTGTCCTTATTTTTGAGATATAAGCAATTTGGTGGGAAATAATCTTCGCACATTAAACATTGTCACTTTTTTCTTTCAAAAATTTAGAAAAAAACAAGGATTTTATAAAATGTTGAATTAAAAAAAAACAACTAAACTATATGAAATAAAATAATGAAAAGAAAAGAAGGTGTTTGTACATGGCATTACATGGATAAAACTAGAGGACTTCAAATATCTAACAAAAAGTCAAAAAACAAGAATAGCAAACATCGTTAACCAAAGCATCAATTTAAATCACACGAATAGGACTTTTTGGTGATAGACCTTTACTCTGACAAATACATTGTATTTAAGTCTTTATAATATATATATAAACAAGTAACATAAAACCCGTAGACCTTTTAACATAACAATATACTTATATATTATCAATAGTCCTCTAATTCTGCCAATCTAATCATCATATCATATAACAATTAATTTTAACGAACTGTAGTTTTACTGACGGAACTATTACTATCTTTATACAAGCATAATCTGTAAACTAAATTAACATGAATATTATGTACAAAATATAGAATGGAAAACAGAAATCAAAATTGATAGCAAAACATAATATTTGTAAAATGACAATATGAAAAAGAGTCCGACTACACGCTCTATTTAGATATTAATCTAACAACAAAAGTAATGATGGAAAAATCTAACAACTTAATTAATATGAGCATTATGTATTAAATGTAGAGTAGAAAAACAGAAATTAACATTGAAAGCAAAACAAAAATTAAATCGTAAAATGACAATATGAAAAAAGAGTCATATCACACGCTCCATTTAAATAACAATCCAACACCAAAAACAAATGAAATAACATAACAATAAACATAAACATAGAATAGTTCAATATATTGTACATTGAAATCACGTCTGAAAACATTAAGTGAAATAAAGAAGTTTCAGAATGTAAATGTGGATTCATTATTATCCATGGGATACTAATATTCGTGGACTTCCTGGCTATAGAAAATTAACAATGTAAATGTTCAAATATGTTTATTTGAACACTCTGGCAAAACCACGTAATCGTCAAATATTCATGAAAATACAAGTTTGCATCAACCCATAAAAATTGTTATCCACGAAAATAAATGAATTCACAGTAAGGCAAAAATTGATTAGGTTACACTAGTCCATAAACATATTGAAAGAGTTACAATAAGTTAGTGTATTTACAGTTATATTAATTGGCATCACCAGAAAGGTTTTACTGCACATCAAAATCAAATATGTCTCTTTTGTTCTTGGTGATAAAATCAAGACGAATGAAAAGTGAAGTTAGAAAACAACGAAGAAACTTAAAACATTTCAGTAATGATAGCGTTACAATATTTGCTGAGTGAGGTACAGTTAACTTCATTGACATCAACAGAAATGGTTTTACTGCACATCAAAATCAAATATGTCTCATCTGTTCCTGGTTATAAAATCAAGACGAAAGAATTGTGACTTTAGAAAATCAACGAAGAAACTAAAACAACTAATAATGATAGAATAATAATGTTTACTGAGTGATGTACAGTTATATTAATTGGCATCAACTAAATGATTTTATTACAAATCAAAATCAAATATATCTCTATTGTTCTTGGTAATAAAATCAAGAAATATTTATGTAAAGTAAAGCTATGCTGCATGTGTCTTGTACCCATGAAAACATTAGAGACATACGTAATGGAATGAATAATAAACGATATCAAACAAAACACCAATCAACAATAATTAGAAAAGACCATCATTGTCACATAGATCAAAATTATGATTTCTTCTTTAACAACATCTTTACAATATCAGTATGTCTTTGCTGATTTGCTATGCCCATAGGACTCCACCCTTTATTATCACATAGATCTATTTTAGGATTTCTTTCTAACAGCAACCTTACGATATCAATATATCCTTGCTGACTTGCCATGTACAAAGGACTACAGCCATCATTGTCACATAGATCAAGATTAGGAGTTCTCCCTAACAACAACTTGACTATATCAGTATGTCCTTGCTGACTTGCCATGTACACAGGACTACAGCCATCATTGTCACATGTATCAATATTAGGATTTCTCTCTAACAACAACTTTACTATATCAATATGTCCTTTCTGACTTGCTATGTACAGAGGACTACAGCCATCATTGTCACATATATCAATATTAGGATTTCTCTCTAACAACAACTTTACTATATCAGTATCTCCTTGCTGACTTGCTATGTACAGTGGACTACAGCCATGTTTGTCACATAGATCAATATGGGGATTCTTCTCTAAAAACAACTTTACTATATCAGTATATCCATTCTTACTTGCCTTTCTCAGTGCCTTCCAGCAATTTTTGTCACATAGATCAATATGAGAATTCCTCTCTAACAACAACTTTACTATATCAGTATGTCCGTTTTGACTTGCCATGTACAGAGAACTCAAGCCATCATTGTCACATAGATCAATATTAGGACTCTTCTCTAACAGCAACTTTACTATTTCAGAATGCCCTTTCGCACTTGCCTGTCTCAGTGGACTGCAGCAATCATTGTCACATAGATGTATGTTAGCATTCCTCTTTAACAACAACTTTACTATATCAGTATTTCCATTCTGACTTGCCTTATACAGAGGACTACAGCCATTATTGCCACAAGGATTAACATTAGCATTCCTCTTTAACAACAACTTTACTATATCAGTATGTCCTTTCTGACATGACATGTTCAGTGGACTACAACCATTTTTGTTACATAGATCAACGTTAAGATTTCTCTGTAACAACAACTTTATTATATCAGTATGTCCATTTTGACTTGCCATGTTCAGTGGACTACAACTGTTTTTGTTACATAGATCAACGTTAGTTTTCTTTTCTAGCAACAAATTTACTATATATTTATGTCCATTCTGACTTGCCCAATATAGAGGACTACAGCCATTATTGCCACATAAATTAACATTAGGATTCCTCTTTAACAGCAACTTTACTACATCAGTATGTCCATTTTGACTTGCCATGTTCAGTGGACTACAACTATTTTTGTCACATAGATCAACGTTAGGATTCTCTTCTAGCAACAACTTTACTATATCAGTATGTCCTTTCCGACTTGCCATGTAAAGAGGACTACAGCCATCATTGTCACATATATCAATATTAGGATTTCTCTCTAACAACAACTTTACTATATTAGTATGTCCTTGCTGACTTGCCATGTACAGAGGACTACAACCATTTTTGTCACATAGATCTATATGAGGATTCCTCTCTAACAGCAACTTTACTATTTCAAAATGTCCTTTCGCACTTGCCTGTCTCAGTGGACTCCAGCCATCATTGTCACATACATCAATGTTAGGATTCCTCTCTAACAACAACTTTACTATATCAGTATTTTCGTTCTGACTTGCCTTATACAAAGGACTACAGCCATTATTGCCACATAGATTAACATTAGCATTCCTCTTTATTAACAACTTTACTATATCAGTATGTCCTTTCTGACATGCAATGTTCAGTGGACTACAACCGTTTTTGTTACACAGATCAACGTTAAGATTCTTCTCTAACAACAACTGTACTATATTAGTATGTCCATTCTGACTTGCCATGTACAGAGGGCTACAGCCATCAATGTCACATAGATGAACATTAGGATTCCTCTCTAACAACAACTTTACTATATCAGTATGTCCATTTTGACTTGCCATGTACAGAGGACTACATTCATTATTGCCACATAGATTAACATTAGGATTCCTCTTTAACAACAACTTTACAATATTAGTATGTCCTTTCTGACTTGCCATGTTCAGTGGACTACAGCCATTTTTGTTACATAGATCAACGTTAGGATTCCTTTCTAACAACAAATTCACTATATAATTATGTCCATTCTGACTTGCCTAATACAGAGGACTACAGCCATTATTGCCACATAAATTAACATTAGGATTCCTTTCTAACAACAACTTTACTATATTAGTGTGTCCGTTTTGACTTGCAATGTACAGAGGACTACTACCATCATTGTTACATATATCAATAGTAGGATTTCTCTCTAACAACAACTTTACTATATCAATATGTCCTTCCTGACTTGCAATGTAGAGACCAGTAATCGCATCATCTCTACATTGATCCACATCCACTTCATTATGTAAAATCCACTGTACCATATCCGTATAACCATAATAACACGCCATTATCAGTGATGTACAGCCCTTGGATGGTGTAAACTTCCCAAAATAACGTGTATGGTGTAATGGTGTATGGCATATGGTGCAATGGTAGAAGGTGTATGGTGCTATGGTGTATGGTGTAAGGGGAATGGTGTAATGGTGTATGAGGAATGGTGTGATTGTGTAACGTGCGATCGGGAATGGTGTGAATGAATGGTGTACGACATTTCATTGGTTGAAACCGAAGTTCATTTTATTTTAATTTTTCGGATTGTAAACATAAACAATAATAATAATCCTATTGTTCTTTTTTCCCAGTAAAGCAAATTACTTTACTCGTTAGACTCTATGTCATATATATTTAACCCTCTTGCTGCCGAGTTTTTTTCTTGCTTTGTCGCGCCAAAAGCATCTTGACGTTTCATATCTGTGACGTTGCAAAACTTGTGCCTCTCTGTAGAACAGCGCTTTCCCGCCGTCCATACTATTTCCCGCGCCAATGTAGCCGTAATTATGAAAAGCGATGTAAAAGTAATTTTATGAAAACTATTGCTATAAGATTGTTATAAATGATGTTTTTAATACAATATTATTTTACAATACAACTTTTAACCTTGAAATATAGTTTTTTTTTATCTTTCTTGTTTTCAAAAAAATGAAAATAATATACCCATGGTCACCCATTGCTACTAGCTTTATAAGCGCTTTTGTTTTATCTTTGTCAAGTGAAATGCATAACTGATTCTTAACCACCTCTAAAATACTAAAATATATTTATCTTTGTTATCCGATTAGCTTAGTAAACCTTCTTATAATAGATAAATACCGTAAAAAAATCTCTCAAATAATTATATAAACAAAACAACTGCCCCAAATAAAAATAAAAATAAAAACAATGAGTGTACAAATAAAAATAAATAAAAACTCCGAGCAGCCAATTCTATGAACTACTTCTTGTTGTAAAGTATCAAACGTGTCAGAAGTTAAAATTTTCATTCCAAGCCTTGTTTCGGTAGGCGAGAAAATAATGTTTATAGACGTTATTATCCATATTCATTTTGTTTATGTTTTAATCATGTTTATTATTATTTTGTTGACTACTTATTGCTCAAAATTTCAGAGAAATGTTTGAAAATACGAATTTAAAAAAAAACAGAAAAGCGAGGGAAGAAATTCTCTAAAATTAATTTCTATTGTCTACAAGTGAACCTGAATCAATAATAATTCATTTTCATTTTCTATGATGAAGTACACACTGTAATTGGCATACACGAAATATCTTTTAAAATCTGTTGATTGATAAATTGTTCTCTTCTCAACGTTCAGTGGCAAGTATTTCATGCAATATTAAGGACGTCTGAAATTTAATGTAGAATAAATATGTTGCTCAGTGGGTCCTACAAAGTAAAAGATTTGTGATGAATGGCTGAAAATTGAGGTTGCCACTGGGAAAGGATGATATGTAAGATAGGAAAAGAAATCATTGGGTCACCTGCTAATTTAACATCCCCATTTCGAATGAAAATAAATAGTTTTAGATTAGTGCTTCAATGATGAAACGGGTATAAAATGTATTGAAATATCGTATGGCAATACAAGTATATCGGGTATCATTTGTGTACTTTTACAAAAAAAAATCTTCACTGAGAATTCAATCACGGCATTTGAGCCCTAAAGAAATTTTCCAGTTCTCTTAAATAAAGCGTGTATTGTGAATTAATATTAATATTTCGCGTAATCAAGTATAACAGTTACCTTTTCTATGATTTAAACGTTTAACAAATTTCTCGAAGGTACGCAACATTTTACATGAAAATGACGAACTAGATAATTAGAAAACACGTTAAATAAGTTGGCATTATAGTACTAACAAGCTTATGATCCTGTATCATTTTTTGACATCCGTTTTAAGTATACAAATAATGCATTTTATTCAGTTTGCTTCATTCCCGCCAAAATCGTCCTTTTGGCGCCGTCTTTTGACGTTGTCAGTGCCCCTCAGTATTGTGACGTTACCATGGACCTTTGACGTTCTACACAATCAACAAGATTTGTGTGTAGAAGCCATAAATGTCCCTTTGGCAGCAAGAGGGTTAATATACACATGTTAAAAAATCTTTTTTTTTCATATTCTTATTTACATTAAACAATGGCTTTAAAATTACACACTTGTGATCACATGCAGTTATCATAAAAGACAGGATTTTATTTAAACTAGAAGGCGGATAGAAAGGTTATCCACGCATCGGAACAGTATTTTTATATCACGGGTTATCAACATCATTTTTAAAGTTGCTTCGTTCCCCACTTTTGACAGTCTCTTTATAAATATCTTGTCGTCATTCACCTATGTTTGCCTTGGATTTACGATTCTGTTTTCCAAAAAATGTTCAAAGGAAAATTGTACAGTGTTATTGCACATAAGGTGTTGTATAATTATGAACAATCTCGTCAATTTAGTTAGATTTGTCTTTACGGATTATAAATGATATCTTGAACGTCCGAAAAAATATACTTATGTGAAACGGAATGAAATATTTGCCACTTGATATTTAGCCACCAACAAAATCAACCAACCGACATATTATACTAACAGTATACTTTTCCTAGAAGAGCTAGAACTTCTCATACTTTTCATTATAAAGTACAAATGAAATCTGTCATGTCAGTCACACTGTTGGATGATGAGGTGGAATAGTTTTATTATACAAACCATCCTGAACTACTGAGTTTAAATCATCACACCCCAGCAAGCACGACTAATTTATGCGCAGACCAACCCATCACACAATAGCCCAAAAGGAATCTGTGATGTACCCGTCCATATACACCTAATCGCTATTCCCGGCTGACCCGGCCGCTTGAACTTTTGACGTCAACAACAATCCCTTTTTCATTGTGGCGTCAGATATTTTGTTTTATGACGTCAAAATTTTACGGGAACCTGTGTGATATCCAGTAATGGCGGACAAATAGCGATAAGGTGTATTCAGAAGTCATGGAAGTGGGAAATACAGATACTGATACTGACTTTAGTGACAGTTTTATATAACGAATACAGAGATGAAATGCTGGCACTCTAAATTAAAGCGGACAAGATTTTGTTATCATTGTATTGCAATGTTGCTGTCATTTGTATTATACAATCCATCCTGACATCAAAATATTGCTGATTTACTATGCGGCTGCCGCTATATAGATTTACATAATAAAGTGCAAATATGGTCAGTTTTGTTTGATACTTTAAAAAAGTTTTGTTATACGAGTCAGCCTGAGGTATCAAAACTACTGAAATTTTCTTGCGAGACAATATTTTTAATAAAAAGAGGACATGCTGGCTATCTAGATTGATGGGGACAAATTTTTGTTGTCATTGTATTGCAGTGTTGCTGTCATTTGTATTATACAATCCATCCTCACATCAAAATATTGCTGATTTACTTTGCAGCTATATGCTGATTTACTATGCGGGTATATAGATTTACATACATGACATAATAAAGTGCTAATATGATCAGTTTTGGCTGATGCTTTAAAATAATTTTGTTATACAAGTCAGCCTGAGGTATCAAAACTACTAAAATATTCATGCGAGACAATATTTTTAATAAAAAGAGGACATGCTGGCTATCTAGATTGATGATGAAAAATTTTTGTTGTCATTGAGTTGCAATGTTGCTGTCATTTAATTTGTATAATGCAATCCATTCTGACATCAAAATATTGTTGTTTACTATGTGGCTATATAGATTTACATAATAAAGTGCAAATATGGTCAGTTTTGGTTGATTCGTTTAAATAATTTTGTTATACGAGTCAGCCTGAGGTATCAAAACTACTGAAATTTTGTTGCGAGACAATATTTTGAATAAAAAGAGGACATGCTGGCTATCTAGATTGATGGGAACAAATTGTTGTTGTCATTGCATTGCAATGTTGCTGTCATTTGTATTATACAATCCATCCTGACATCAAAATATTGCTGATTTACTATGTGGCTATATAGATATACATAATAATGTGCAAATATGGTCAGTTTTTGTTGATGCATTTAAATAATTTTGTTATACTAGTCAGCCTTAGGTATTAAAATTACTGAAATTTTGTTGCGAGACAATATTTTGAATAAAAAGAGGACATGCTGGCAATCTAAATTGATGGGGATAAATTTTGTTGTCATTGTGTTGCAATGTTGCTGTCATTTGTATTATACAATCCATTCTGACAATAAAATATAGCTGCTTTACTATGTGGCTATATAGATATACATAATATTAAAAGTGCAAATATGGTCAGTTTTGGTTGATGCTGTAAAATAATTTTGTTATACAAGTCAGCCTGAGGTATCAAAACTACTGAAATTTTCTTAAGAGACAATATTTTGAATAAAAAGAGGACATGCTGGCTATCTAGATTGATGGGGACAAATTTTTGTTGTCATTGTATTGCAATGTTGCTGTCATTTGTATTATACAATCCATCCTGACATCAAAATATTGCTGATTTACTATGCGGCTATATAGATTTACATAATAAAGTGCTAATATGGTCAGTTTTGGTTGATACTTTAAAATAGTTTTGTTAAATGAGTCAGCCTGAGGTATCAAAACTACTGAAATTTTCTTGCGACACAATATTTTGAATAAAAAGAGGACATGCTGGCAATCTAGATTGATGGGGACAAATTTTTGTTGTCATTGTGTTGCAATGTTGCTGTCATTTGTATTATGCAATCCATTCTGACAACAAAATATTGCTGATTTACTATGCTGCTATATAGATTTACATAATAAAATGCAAATATGGTCAGTTTTGGTTGATTCGTTTAAATAATTTTGTTATACGAGTCAGCCTGAGGTATCAAAACTACTGAAATTTTGTTGCGTGACAATATTTTGAATAAAAAGAGGACATGCTGGCTATCTAAATTGATGGGAATAAATTTTTGTTGTCATTGTATTGCAATGTTGCTGTCATTTGTATTATACAATCCATCCTGACATCAAAATATTGCTGATTTACTA